TACATCAAATGTCTGACCAAAATTTTTTCCATCTGCTGTTGGAATCTAGTTCCATATATATTATTAAAATGTACATTCTGACAGGTCGCTTCGAAAAAGCCATCTCTGCATTTTTGAGTGGATACAAAAATCTGAAGCATTAAGCAGCCCATGAGTGACAACAGCGGCAAAAATTAAATACCAATTATAAAAACAAAAAAATTGGAATATATGAAAACCAAAAAAATTAATGATATCATTTTTAAAAATTCCTTTCTTCATTAAAATATTTCTGAAATAAATACCTTTCTACCTACATTCTTTATTTAAGTATCCTTAGTTTTAAATAAAAATTAATATCATGCAATGTGTGTGTGTAATTTGTTTCTCCTTTTAAGTCTAAACGTTGTTTTACATTTAAAAATGTATATCAATTGTCTAAACAGATCATCTGATAGATTTAGCGAAGATAATAAAACCATCTATAAGCATAGATTGATATATCAGAGTATATTTGGTGCTAATTGCTCTCATTGGTCTATCACAGCACGGTTGGTGTTTTTGAGATACTAGATCTATCAGAGAATAGTTGGTATTGGTAGCCCTATTAGATCTATAAGAGCATAGTTTGTGTTTGTCGCTTTAACAGATCTATCAGAGCATAGACGGTGTTATTTTCTCTACTAGATCTATCAGAGCATATTTGATGTTAGTAAATCTACTGGATTGTATCAGAGAACAAATGGTGTTATTAGCTCTGCTAGATCTATCAGAACATATTGGATGTTAGCTGTTCTGCTAGATCTATTAGAGCATTGTTGATGTTAGGTGCCCTGCTAGATCTATTAGAGCATTGTTGATGTTAGCTGCTCTTCTAGATCTATTAGAGCATTGTTGATGTTAGGTGCCCTGCTAGATCTATTAGAGCATTGTTGATGTTAGGTGCCCTGCTAGCTCTATTAGAGCATTGTTGATGTTAGGTGCCCTGCTAGATCTATTAGAGCATTGTTGATGTTAGGTGCCCTGCTAGATCTATTAGAGCATTGTTGATGTTAGGTGCCCTGCTAGATCTATTAGAGCATTGTTGATGTTAGGTGCCCTGCTAGATCTATTAGAGCATTGTTGATGTTAGGTGCCCTGGTAGATCTATTAGAGCATTGTTGTTGTTAGGTGCCCTGCTAGATCTATTAGAGCATTGTTGATGTCAGGTGCCCTGCTAGATCTATTAGAGCATTGTTGATGTTAGGTGCCCTGCTATATCTATTAGAGCATTGTTGATGTTAGGTGCCCTGCTAGATCTATTAGAGCATTGTTGATGTTAGGTGCCCTGTTAGATCTATTAGAGCATTGTTGATGTTAGGTGCCCTGCTAGATCTATTAGAGCATTGTTGATGTTAGGTGCCCTGCTAGATCTACACGAGCATGTTTGGTGTTTGTTTCTCCGCAAAAGCAAGTTCGACCATGCAAAATCACTTCTGAGAGAGTTGCATTGGCTGCCGGTGCGTGCTCGCATAGAGTACAAAATCGCAACTTTGTGCTACCGCTGTCTACATGGCCTGGCGCCGTCCTATCTGAAAGAGCTGCTGACGCCTTATGTACCCACTAGACAACTCCGCTCATCCGACAGTGGCAAACTCTTGACACCACGTGTTCGCCTTGAGACTTGCGGAAAGCGCACTTTCGCATTTGCTGGTCCAACAATTTGGAACGCCCTTCCACTCGATCTCAGAAACATCCAGACACTGGAGTCCTTTAAAACCGATTTAAAGACACATTTATTTCGCAAACACCTTCTGGGATGATTGTCTACCATATTTTCCATTTAATGCATATTGGCTGTGTTGCTCACGGTTGAAATGGGTTGAAAGACTTTGACATTGTATGCTTGTAATTAGTTTTTGCAGTGTTGCGTTTGTTTTAAATGTGGTAAATTATAGATTTGTTTTTTGTTGACTTTGTACCGCGCTTCGAGCCTTTGGGGATGAAGCGTGTTTTTGAAATGAACTTTATTATTATTATTACCATATCTATCAGATAATAGTGGGTGTTATTTACTCTACTAAATCTATCAGAACATAGTTGGTGCGAGTAGCTCTATTAGATCTACAGATAACAGTTTGTTTGAGTAGCTCCCTTAGTTCTATAAGATCAAATTGGATGTTAGTTGCTCTATTAGATCAATCAGAGAATAATTTGTTTATTTGTTCTACTAGATCTATCATGCAAAGTTGGTGTTTGCTGCTCTGCTAGATCTTTTAGAAAATAGTTTGTGTTAGTAGCTCTGCTAGTTCTGTCAGATAATAGGTGGAGCTGCTGGTTCTGCTAGATCTTTCAGAGAATTGGTGGTACTAGTAGCTCTGCTAAATCTAGATTAATTATACACGAACAATTTGTTTCAATATAACCATATACATTAAGGTTGAATAAAAATTTTCTATATTACACAAGTATACTTTTCGGCACACACCTTTATCAGTACAACAAGAAAACAATGAAATAAGTATAATTTAAATTAACATAGTATGTACATATAAATATCCTTCCTAAAAAAGAAATAGGAGTTGTCGAAAAAAAAAACACGCAGAAACAAAGTAAAGAAGAGTTGAAATGAAGTTACTTGGATTCAAATGTAAAAAACTAAGCAGGAAAATCTGTCCCCTGATAGATCAAGTAGAGCAACTAACACCAATCGTCAGCTGATAGATCTAGGTGTAATTAGCTCTGCTAGATCTATCAGTGTATATTATTTGTTACTAGCTCTGATAGCTCTAATAGAGCATGGTCAGTGTTACTAGCCCCTGCACAATCTATAACAACACAGTTAGTGTTATTTGAGATACTAGATCTATCAGAGCAAACCTGGTGTTAGTAGCCCTATTAATCTATCAGAGCATAATTGGTGTAAGTTGCTCTACTAGATCAATCATAGCATAACTGATATTAGTAGATCGCTAGATCTATCAGTGCACAGTTGGTGTTAATTTCCCTACCAGATCTATCAGAGCATAGATGATGTTATTTACTCTGCTAGATCTATCAGAGAATAGTTGGTGTTATTAGCTCTATTAGATCTAACAGAAAATATTTTGTGTTAGTAGTCTCTAATAGAATAATCAGAGAAAATTGATGATGGTAGCTCTGCTAGATATTTCAGTGCATAGTTCGTGTTATTTGATCTACTAGATCTCTAGTTAGTATCTCTACTTGATCTATCAGAGGACAATTCGTGCTAGTTGTTTTACTTGTTCTATAAAATGAAATAAGACGCTAGTTTTTTATTGAATCTATCAGTTCATAATTAGTTCTAGTAGCTGTACTATATCTATCAGAGGAAGGTAGGTTCTAGATGCTCTACCACATCTACCAGTGAACAGTAAGTACTTGTTGCCTCACAAGATTTAACAGAAGAGAGTTCATTCTAGTTATTCATCTATCAGAAGACAGACTAGTTGCACTACAAAATCTAAAAGATGACGGTTGAGTCCAGTTGCACTACTTGATCTATCAGAGGACAGTTCGAGCTAGCTGCTTAACTTAATCTTCAGTGGACAGTAAGTGCTAGTTACACCACTAGATCTTTTAGAGGACAACACGTGATATTTGCTTTACTAAATCGTTCAGAGGAAAATTCACTCTTAGTTCACTTCTAGATCTATCAGAGGACAGAATGTGCTAGTTGAACTTTCTCTTTATATCAGAGGGTAGTTGGTGATAATTGCTCTACCTTATCTATCAGAGCACAGTACATGCACGTTCCTCTACTAAATCTGGTTTGGTTCTGGTAATGTTTCGTTGCTGCATCCATATACTGGCATCTTTGCAACGGTTGGGGATATGATGTTGATATTCTAAAAGCTCCTAGCTGATGCCAGGGCATCTTCCGGTGCCATGTTTAAGAAGTGACAAGGCGGTTTAGGCACCGAGAAGAGCGACGAAGTCACCAGAGCCGGGCACGATACGGCTTGCCGTTGTTACGGCTTGCCGTACCTGGTGAAGACGGTGANGCAATTATGTTGTTGATCTCAACATCTACGGTTGCTGACCGTGAGAAACGACTGCCTAAATATGTGGATTTTCCCACTGCTTCGTAGATGATGTCGTATTTCTGAAATATTTGGTTCTTTGTAAGATTTTCCAGGAGCGCTGTCTTTTTTTTTTTTATGACGAGGCTGTAGTTCTCGCAGGACTTAGCAAATTGCTCAAATATTTGCTGCATGTTCTGTTCTGAGCTGGCACTTTGGCGTCATCATTGAATACAAAATCTCGAACAGCCTTTTCTGCATTGTTCCTACTGAGTCATTGTGAGTATTGCTACTTTAAAAAACGAATCTTCAGGGAAGAAAAATGCAAAGCAGGGAGTGCAAAAGCGAGCGGCGCCCGGGAAAATCCCGAAACTGGCGCCCCTCATTTTATAAATAAAGGATAAACGATACAAACACACCAGTGTATATACATATTTATATTTATTAACAATGTTTAAGTCTTCGCCTCCAAGATTTTAAGACACAGAGCTGCTCCCCGTCTCGCCTCCTTTACGTGTCCTAAAACTAAAGTTGAAAAGCGTTCCCTGATTTAGAACCTGTCTTAAAGAATGTGGTGGTAAAAAGACTTACACAAACGAGAAATGTATCTCTTCAAAGTCTGGTGGTCGATGGAGCACGATCCTTTTTTTTTTGTGTATGGTATGACACCTTGCCTGACTGGCACTGTTAATTTTAATTTAGATCTTATTCATTAGGAAAAATACGAATTAGAGGAGGAATCAAGATATAAGTTTTTTTTTTTTTAATTTTAAAAACTTCAAATAATTTTTTTTTTAAATTTAATAATTTAACATTCACCTTGAAAGTGACATGCAAATGACCCGTCCTTGAACCCTTGGGACTTTTAACTGTTCACGAGAAACGCTCACCTCAGATGAATTGTCTTTCCTTGACTAGAGGCAGATATGTCGTTAACGTACAACTAATTTAAAAAAAAAAAAAAATCTTTCTACCCATGAAAACTTGTCTTGCTCTTAGAATTTGATCTCATAAAGGACATCTGATTGCTGTTTGAGACTTCACATCTGGCAGTCGACCGTTCAGAACGTCTTAAAGATACACACGATGTTGGTAAAACTCAGCGTTGTGCTGTTGGTGGTGTTCGTAGCATCCACCAGCTTGGCCAAGAAAAGGACAAGACATGTTTTAAGTAAGAGAGCGAACGGTACGTCATCTTATTACTTTCAAAATTATAAACAAGTATTATAGGGACTACTTTTATTGATTTGGTTTATGAAAAAAAAAACCTTTGACCGAATGACCGCCAAAGACTTATTTAAAAAAACGCTATGTATTAGTTTTTTTTATTTTTATCTGATACATGTAAAATAATTAATAGAGCTAGTCATTTATAAATACCATTTCTGAAATAAATCTAACACAATGTGATGAAAAAACCTTTGGCCTATCAACCTCTTGGATTGCGCTTCACATGGCATTATTTTCATTGCACTAACAACTGCATTACATTTTTTTTTAAACAATAAACTGATACATCAACTTTCTCCCTACCAACAAATTGATATCTTACCTCTGTCAGTGTTGAAACTTTAAAAAAAAAATTCATTTTCATTTTACCTACAACCTGTTACATTAAAAAAATCATTCCAATAATCTGATAATTACCTTTCTCTATACTGACAACACATTACCTTTCTCTATACTGACAACACATTACCTTTCTCTATACTGACAACACATTACCTTTCTCTATACTGACAACACATTACCTTTCTCTATACTGACAACACATTACCTTTTTCGATGGCTAAACTCTAATGCTTTGCCTTTCTCTACACCTATTAAAATGATAAGGTAAATTTCTGTATACGAAACGCTCGGCTTCATTCCATTGACGTCATTAGAATTGGCGTCACCTAGTGCGATATTCTCATGATGTTGCCCCCTCCGCCCGACTCCGCCCCCCCCCTACATAGTTACCCCACAACAGACTTCTCTAAAAAAAAACCTCCCCCACCGCTTGACTTCTTCCACTGACCTTCCCATTCCCCGTGTTAAGTCTATGATGCGATTTTCTTATCAACTTTATGTTCCAGCTAAATGTGAAGAATATGAATCCTTGTGCCCTCGAGATCGCACACAATGTATTAAAAATGATATGATTTGTGACACTGTATCAGACTGTATTTCGGGCAATGAAGAGGAAGACTGTCGTGAGTACTTTTTACAGAAATAGACATATCTATCATTGTCCCTTTTTTCTAAATAGTAACACATTTGAATGAGACAAGAGTATACATTGTAGATCGTAGATGGTTCTTTGTAGCCAAATACATCAAATGATATTGTCCAAATTCAATTATTTATTATGTTCTAATAAAGCGAATATCATAAGATCTCATCAACCACTGTGCAGCGATTACTTTTGAAATATACCGCAACCAAATGAAAACTTATGAAATATTAGTGTGGGGCACTTGACACAGTGCGGTGTCGTTGGTGGAACGGAATATTGAAAAAAAAAATAATAATAAGTTGACGGGTTGTATTCGTCGCTAACATGCCGTAGACAAGTAGTTCTTATCTTTGTTTGACATGTTCGGGACCCTAACTAAAATAATATTTTTGGCGGCACTCCTCGTATCTCTCTCTATATATATCTTTATAAAATATCCTTCAAGATAATGACACTGAATGATTTTTTTTTTCAAGTCTCCAAAAATAATCACCGCGATGTATTTTTATTTCTGGTCATACTGTTGATTTATTCGTCACAAATAACTCAATAGTATTGACATAGGTAACAGTAACAGTCAGCCCTATGTGACAACATTCAGCCTACCGTGCGTGTAACATAATTTGTGACATTACAGCTTTCTGCTGAACAATTCTGATGTATTCCAGAAAAAGAGACGGGGGGGGGGTGTGAACCACGACATGTTACAAAATAAAAAAGTGTTTCCCAATATTTCGTGTTCCACGCACCAAAAAGAAAAAAAAAGAAAAAGAGCACAATAATTTCCTCCCCCTCCCCCCACCCCATTTTCGCCTACCTCCCTCAGTGGCACAAAAAAAAAATAGGTCAATTCGGTGGCGTTAAGAAATTTCATTTTGAACGTTCCACCCGTTTTAGGCCTTAAGATTCAACATTATACTATGAAACTATTAGTGAAAGTGAAATATATGTGTATGTAATTAATGACACACCATCGCGGTGGTTAACTTAAAAAAAAACAAATTGTCATGTTTAACTTTGAAAACCAGCTTTTCCCACCTTTGAAATCTAAGTTCATTATCTCAGAGCCAAAGCGTCACTCACTGCCATGATCAGAAATTCCGCCTGTGAAGGGGGGGGGTGGTGGTGTACGATGTCCGATTGAAAATCAATGCCGTGAACAAAAAACATCGTAAACGCCTCTGCAACTCAGTGGCCGGCTTGACAGCCAGAAGCGTTGCAGTTATGTATACCCAAAACATCGGGGAGAAATGCATTTTTGTGTTTCGTCCATCACACCAAGGTGACCAAGGTCATTTTGGAGAAGTAGCGTCACTTGACTTCAGCTGTACAGCTAGTGCTCGACTTAAGACCTATGCAACTTACGACCATTCGACTTTACGATCACAACTAGCCATACTTTATAAGAGTTCAGATTTATTTCTACCTTAGTCATCATTCGAATGTCGTTGTCTGCAATCAGCTGCGGTCGTCAACATCAAACTTTATGATTTATAACAATAATAAAAGAAATGTACGATATAATTTGACTTAAATATTTTTATAACATCACTTCACATTACTTTACGCATAGCGTACTCAAATTACAACCAAATCGCGTTACGACCGGTCAGTCGGAACCGATCGTGGTCGTGAGTCGAGCACTAGCTGTATTGTGTGAATCTCATACCGCCTACGGGACTCCATCTTCGCGTTTGATTTAGAGTTCGCCTTCTCTTAGAGGGGTTGCTTGCCACTCAAGTTCTGTATTACAAAAATAACCGACTAAAGTAAAGTTGACTGGCTTATTCCCCACACAGCCACGGACTGCTCAGGTGAGAACCAGTTCAAGTGTCCTGATGGCAAATGTATATCCAGAAGGTGGCTGTGTAACTCATTCAATCATTGTGGGGACGGGGCCGATGAGAAGGATTGCGGTAAGGAAGCAATAATAATAATGGAGACACTCCAAATAAAAATAGTAGCAATAATAAAAATATAATAGCAATAATTAAAATGATTTTTATTCAATATACACTGAGGTAGCGTTTTGTCTGAGATATTTAAGAAGCTACTCCAACACCTTCAATTAGTACTTTAACCAAAATCCTATAGGCTTTATGCTCATGTATTGTACTGGTCTAATGTGTACAAATAACTTATTCTACTGGTCTAATGTGTACAATCCATGTATTGTACTGGTCCAATGTGTACAATCCATGTATTGTACTGGTCCAATGTGTACAACTCATGTATTGTACTGGTCCTATGTGTACAACTTATGTATTGTACTGGTCCAATGTGTACAACTCATGTATTGTACTGGTTGAATGTGTATAACTCATGTATTGTACTGGTATAATGTGTACAACTCATGTATTGTACAGGTCCAATGTGTACAACTCATGTATTGTACTGTTCTAATGTGTACAACTCATGTATTGTACTGGTCCAATGTGTACAACTCATGTATTATACTGGTTGAATGTGTACAAATCATGTATTGTTCTGGTATAATGTGTACAACTCATGTATTGTACTGGTCCAATGTGTACAACTGATGTATTGTACTGGTCCAATGTGTACAACTCATGTATTGTACTGGTCCAATGTGTGCAACTCATGTATTGTACTGGTCCAATGTGTACAACTCATGTATTGTACTGGTATAATGTGTAAAACTCATGTATTGTACTGGTCTAATGTGTACAACTCATGTATCGAACTGGTCCAATGTGTACAACTCATGTATTGTACTGGTCCAATGTGTACGACTCATGTATTGTACTGGTCTAATGTGTACAACTCATGTATTGTACTTGTCCAATGTGTACAACTCATGTATTGTACTGGTCTAATGTGTACAACTCATGTTTTGCACTGGTCCAATGTGTACAACTCATGTATTTTACTGGTCCAATGCGTACAACTCATGCATTGTACTGGTCCAATGTGTACAACTCATGTATCGTACTGGTCTAATGTGTACAACTCTTGTATTGTACTTGTCTAATGTGTACAACTCATTATCGTACTGGTCTAATGTGTACAACTCATGTATTGTACTTGTCTAATGTGTACAACTCATGTATTGTACTGGTCTAATGTGTACAACTCATGTATTTTACTAGTCCTATGTGTATAACTCATGTATTGTACTGTCCAATGTGTACAACTCATGTATTGTACTGTACTAATGTGTACAACTCATGTATCGTACTGGTATAATGTGTACAACTCATGTATTGTACTGGTCCAATGTGTACAACTCATGTATTTTACTTGTCCTATGTGTATAACTCATGTATTGTACTGGTCCAATGTGTACAACTCATGTATTGTACTGGTCGAATGTGTACAACTCATGTATCGTACTGGTCTAATGTGTACAACTCATGTATTGTACTTGTCCAATGTGTACAACTCATGTATTGTACTGGTCGAATGTGTACACATCATGTATTTTCTTGTCTAATGTGTACAACTCATGTATTGTACTGGTTTCTAATGTGTACAACTCATGTATTGTACTGGTCCAATGTGTACAACTCATGTATTGTACTGGTCGAATGTGTACAACTCATGTACTGTACTGGTCTAATGTGTACAACTCATGTATCGTACGTGTCTAATGTGTACAACTCATGTATTGTACTGGTCCAATGTGTACAACTCATGTATTATACTGGTTGAATGTGTACAAATCATGTATTGTTCTGGTATAATGTGTACAACTCATGTATTGTACTGGTCCAATGTGTACAACTGATGTATTGTACTGGTCCAATGTGTACAACTCATGTATTGTACTGGTCCAATGTGTAAAACTCATGTATTGTACTGGTCAAATGTGTACAACTCATGTATTGTACTGGTCCAATGTGTGCAATTCATGTATTGTACTGGTCCAATGTGTACAACTCATGTATTGTACTGGTTGAATGTGTACAACTAATGTATTGTACTGGTATAATGTGTACAACTCATGTATTGTACTGGTCCAATGTGTACAACTCATGTATTTTACTGTTCTAATGTGTACAACTCATGTATTGTACTTGTCTAATATGTACAACTCATGTATCGAACTGGTCCAATGTGTACAACTCATGTATTGTACTGGTCCAATGTGTACAACTCATGTATTTTACTGGTCGAATGTGTACAACTCATGTATTGTACTGGTCCAATGTGTACAACTCATGTATTGTACTGGTCTAATGTGTACAACTCATGTATTGTACTGGTCCAATGTGTACAACTCATGTATTGTACTGGTTTAATGCATATAACTCATATATTGTACTGGTCTAATGCATATAACTCATGTATTGTACTGGTCTAATGCATATAACTCATATATTGTACTGGTCTGATGCATATAACTCATATATTGTACTGGTGTAATGCATATAACTCATATATTGTACTGGTCTAATGCATATAACTCATATATTGTACTGGTCTAATGCATATAACTCATATATTGTACTGGTCTAATGCATATAACTCATGTATTGTACTGGTCTAATGCATATAACTCATATATTGTACTGGTCTAATGCATATAACTCATATATTGTACTGGTCTAATGCATACAACTCATATATTGTACTGGTCTAATGTGTATAACTCATATATTGTACTGGTCTAATGCATATAACTCATATATTGTACTGGTCTAATGCATATAACTCATATATTGTACTGGTCTAATGCATATAACTCATATATTGTACTGGTCTAATGCATATAACTCATAAATTGTACTGGTCTAATACATATAACTCATGTATTGTACTGGTCTAATGCATATTACTCATGTATTGTACTGGTCTAATGAATATAACTCATGTATTGTACTGGTCTAATGCATATAACTCATGTATTGTACTGGTGTAATGCATACAACACATGTATTTTACTGGTCTAATGCATATAACTCATGTATTGTACTGGTCTAATGCATATAACTCATATATTGTACTGGTCTAATGCATATAACTCATATATTGTACTGGTCTAATGCATATAACTCATATATTGTACTGGTATAATGCATATAACTCATATATTGTACTGGTCTAATGCATATAACTCATATATTGTACTGGTCTAATGCATTCAACTCATATATTGTACTGGTCTAATGCATACAACTCATATATTGTACTGGTCTAATGCATACAACTCATATATTGTACTGGTCTAATGCATACAACTCATATATTGTACTGGTCTAATGCATACAACTCATATATTGTACTGGTCTAATGCATACAACTCATATATTGTACTGGTCTAATGCATACAACTCATATATTGTACTGGTCTAATGCATAAAACTCATGTATTGTACTGGTCGAATGTGTACAACTCATGTATTATACTGGTCTAATGCATACAACTCATGTATTGTACTGGTCTAATGCATACAACTCATGTATTGTACTGGTCCAATGTGTTCAACTCATGTATTTTACTGGTCTAATGTGTAAATTGAAGATTATCACATCCGCCAATGCCCATCCTTCAAGATAACTTTTAAATATTCGTTCAGATAAACTTGTGTGTGCGCCGGGAAAAATCAAGTGTCCCACTGGAAGTTGCATATATAAGGACGATTTCTGTGACAAATGGAATGACTGCGGCGATCATTCTGATGAGCCAAAGTCTTGTGGTGAGAAAACTATTACATTCTATCTTTTATTATAATAACGTAAGACCTGTAATCCAAGACTTTTTACCATTTTTTTTTATATAAGGTAGTTGTAATGAACTGTCTGTCTGTTCATTACAGTTAAATCTGTTCAGGTGTACAAGAAGGTATATAAGTTTATTTATGATTGTCCACCAGTAGGTGAAGAAATTTATCCATGGCTCATTACCAGAAGGTGTAGATACATTTCTATAATTCTGTATTGGATTATTAATAAAGTTTCCCATATTCCTGTATTAGAAAGTGTAGAAAATCGCTATGTTCAGAAACCTTGTACAGGCCACAACTATTAAGAGATATGTAAACTTTGCATGAATTTTAATGATGAACCGATATTTTCATAATTAAATCTCACATTACTCAATGTACTGGTTTAAATAATATTGCAATTTCAGATTGTAATAAACATTATTATTTAATAAAATTGATGATTTTTTTATATTTTGTTAAAAGAATATTACGCGATACCAGGAAAGAGATCCGTCCATGAAAAAAAACGTACCATCACCAAAAGACAAGGTAAGTTCAGTTATAATTATGAAACAGTCTACATTTAGTTCAAGGCATTGTACACTACGACTTAGAAATTGATTATTTCTGCTTTAGTTTTAGTAATATTATTGTGTTCCAAGAAAGAAATTCTTCTTAATTCCAAATAATGACGACTGTAATATGACATTCCTTACCAATAGGAATAAATGCAATGTCCCAGAACTGAAAAACTTCCTTTGTTATGAATGAGGTACTCGCTGAAATACTCTGCAAATCAACCCCGTGGAGATGAAAGAAATTCTGAAACACTTGTCGATTTCAAAGTATTTTTCTTGCAGTGATATTTGTAGAAGTTTTCTCTAACTTCCAGATGGCGCAATCCTTCTTGGGCCAATCACAACTGACGCATAAGTCTCCAGATAAACCGTAATAAAAAAGACCGTAATATTATGATATACAAGTAGGCTAGTCAATGAAAGCTACATTCAATTTAAATAAAATAAATTTATCGCGATACATTTACACATTTACACATGAAATCATTTCAGCCTATTGAGCTACCAATAAGTATTAGTCTACTTATATGAACTTTGGCATAGAAAGAACAAATGAGTGGGTGTGACCTTGAAAATGTTTAACTTTATTTTTGCCATTGCCACTGAGTGTCACTCTAATACAAATACACATTTATTCCTATTGCTTAGTTATATAGTCTCAAAAATGTATACCCTGTATTAGTGTTAATAAAATTTATTAAAAAAAAAACCCAGTAATAATTATCTAAACGAAACTTTTACTTCTCCATTATCGTAATTTGTTTGACAGTGTCTTACGCACTTACTTGTATTGGGAGAAATTAATCTCCTATGTTGATTTTAATTGGCTCGTTGTAAACAGTGCCTAACAAAGGACGATACCATAGAATCAACAATATTAAAGGCACGACACCCAAAGCAGTTTCTAGTTACAATTAATAAGATTTATTAAGTCTTAATATAATTACAAAAGAAAATATAATATAATGACAATCTTCAACTTACAGTATGGTAGTTCTTGTACCGGTACACAGTTAATACAGTTAGAATAATGTGCCAATGAATAATGATGAAGTGCGAAATAAACACATATGAGTATGAGCGCACAAATACAAAAGGAATAATACACGAATCGTAAAGTTAATATCTATCTGAATCTCCGTCCCTCCGTCCGTGCCTGTCAATCCTTTATATAGGTGGGTCTACCGACGCCTAAGCCCTGCCTTCGGGTAGCTACATAGCATTTCTAGAACAATCACAATCATTCTACAAAATACTATTTGGAACAGATTAATTATTTTTAGTGGCTGTCCGCATAAACAAGACAGATCAACAGACTAAGCCACACCCATCTGTGAACACAGTGTCTCATGCGGGGTCAATCAGAGTGCACGCACGAGAAAAAATTTTCTAAACAAGCTCTATATAACAAAACTTTTTACCCTACATCAACCGTTAATCTTTAGATTTATCAGCAACATAGCAGTGGCTTAACATATTACCTCTATAGTTTTATCTGCAACATAGTAGTGAATTAACACATTACCTCTAGTTTTATTTGAAACATACCACTGACTTAATTTGTCACACATAGAGTTTTATCTGCAACGTAGCAGTGACTTAATATGTCATAAATATAGTTTTATCTGCAACATAGCACTCACTTAATACGTCACACATATAGTTTTATCTGCAACGTAGCATTGACTAAATACATCACATATAGTTTTAATCTGCAACGTAGCAGCGACATAATACGTCACATATAGTTTTATCTGAAACAGCACTTACATAATACGTCACATTTACAGTTTTATGCGCACCGTCATTCTTGTGTTGAGTTACATACTAGAGAAAGTTCTGGTCAGATACATAAGTAGAATAGATGAATGAAATGATTTAAGGCCAGTTATGGCACACAGTTTATATGATACAATGCACACCTATTTATATTTTAGGTAAGATATAAAATACACTTTAGATCAGTGGTTCTCCAATGTTTTGTCTAAAGCATTTATAACATTATAAGAATAAGCTGTACCCCAACGCTATCATATGCATATAAAACACGGACAGTCTATCAGCCCCATGTACGGAAACTAAACCACTTTCACATGATACGATACGCCTCCTAAAAATCCTAAGCAACAAATGGCAAAACAAGATCCTAGACACCGAAGTATCGCACAGGCAGGTCACCCCAGCATACACGCCTTATTAATGCAGTCTCAGCTTGGCTGGATGGGCCATGGTGCAAGAATGTCAGACAAGCGCTTGCTCAAAAGTAAAAAAAAAATGTATTTTGACCTCAAGAAGGAAGGCTGTTGGCTGGTAAACGAAAGAAACGCGTTAAAACAACTTTGACAGGTGGGAAAGCTGAGTTTCTAATTTAGCTTTTGAAATTGTTTATATCAGTCCTGATAATCAGTAATTTAGTATGAAACTGTCTTATCAAGTGAATCCCTTGTTGAGATTGTGGTAAAGAAATGTCTCATCAAGTGAATACTTTGTTTAGAATGTGGTAAAGAAATGTCTCATCAAGTGATTCCCTTGTGCAGATTGTGGTAAAGAAATGTCTCATCAAGTGATTCCCTTGTTCAGATTGCGTTATACAATTATCTCATTAAGGGAATCCCTGATCAAAGTGCGGTATGAAACTGTCTCATCGTGTGAATCCCTTGTTCAGATTGCATTACGAAACTGCCTCATCAAGTGAATTCGATATTCAGATTGCGATATTTAACGGTCTCATCAAGTGCATTCCTCTCAGGCGTGATTCTCTCTCAGCTGTGATTGCGATTGAAAAAATATTCACATTAAAAATTTTCATAACATTTTTTTAAAAAATCCTATGGGAAAATGACATATCTTATCGCTTTTCACTGATTGCTGTTAAACAGCATTTTATTACAGTTTTACTCTCTGCATTGTGTTTCATTGTTTTGGTGTTTCAATATTTAGGTGTTTCAGTGTTTAGATGTTTGAGTGTTTATTTCAGTGTTTCAAATACACAAATGAATACGTTAAAAAGAATGAATATATTTGATTGACAATATTTAATTTCTGTTAGTCAGTTAATGCACATTTTCATTTATATTGTCATTCTCCGACTGTACCAAGTCTTATAACATATGTTTGGACCTAAATGTACTTAAAAGGTAGAGCTAAAGTGTCAACCACTCTTCTCCCACTCCGTTTTTAAAGATATATATTTTTTTATAAATTAAAAATAAATTGATCTTGACATCACCTATGAAACATCTAACGCTCGATCACACTTTTCCTTTCCTAGAGTTTTTTAGACTGCTATCGAGTGATGCAAGTTCTAGAATTCTTTTCCCTGAGGTTTACATTTTCTCTCTACATATAACATTTTATAAGGCGGCAGCTTTTAAAGACAGAGAGAGATTTTTGCTACGGCTCCTGTCAACGACACATGTAAATAGGAGTCTTACAAGGCTGTACTCTTTGTGTGTTTATGTGTGTAAATATTATTATGTGTGTGGGTATTCAAGGATTATACTTTTTCAACTTACGGTGCTGTAAGTTAATACAGTTTTTACTTCTGTTTACCGGTACCGTATTCGATTTTTGTATTTTTTATAAAAATTTAATAGAGTACTCGGTAGTTGAATATCGTTAAGGTCATCAGCTTTTGTATAGTTTTTCTTTGTATGCTGGTTTTCAGTCCTTTGTTATGTACTGTTCAACAATGGCAACAAATCTTAAAACAGATTAAATTTGTGAAAACATTAACAACTACTGCTGCAAAACACAATAGGAATACAGAGCTATAAAATTCGAAATAAAGAAAACCATCGACAGAATGTCACCCCCCTCCCCTACCCCCACGTTTATTGTAGGCACGTATTTACCAAAGATCTTAAAGCCTGTCGTTAAAACTATTGATTAGTAATAATTCTGACCTTCCCAAATGGAACATATTGATTTTTAGTGTGCAGAAGTATTTTAGAATAAATTTACAAGTTAGCAATTTGAAAAAGGACCTCAGCAAATAGTAGTAGACTTCATTACAATCTACAGCTGGGGTCCTCAATCTTTTTTAAATAAAGGGCCTCAGCAAATAGTAGTAGACTTCATTACAATCAACAGCTGGGGTCTTCAATCTTTTTTAAATAAAGGGCCTCAGCAAATAGTAGTAGACTTCATTACAATCTACAGCTGGGGTCTTCAATCTTTTTTAAATAAAGGGCCTCAGCAAATAGTAGTAGACTTCATTACAATCAACAGCTGGGGTCTTCAATCTTTTTTAAATAAAGGGCCTCAGCAAATAGTAGTAGACTTCATTACAATCTACAGCTGGGGTCTTCAATCTTTTTTAAACATAGGGCCTCAGCAAATAGTAGGAGACTTCATTACAATCTACAGCTGGGGGTCTTCAATCTTTTTTAAACATAGGGCCTCAGCAAATAGTAGTAGACTTCATTACAATCTACAGCTGGGGTCTTCAATCTTTTTTAAACTTAGGGCCGTTTTAGCTGTCTTTCAGGTACTCTAGTTGACGGAAGATAATTTAGCAAAAATTAAAAAAAAATTGTATACATATATCTTATGTTTGTCCAAAAACAAATGATATACGATTTTCAATTGTAATCGTTGGTCTGCTTTTGGCGAATGAGATGACCAATGTCCGTTTACATACTTAGAACTGCCGCTCGGGTAACCAGAGTCATGATCATGCACAATAAATCCATTTGTAGCGGAGTTTGTTAGCGTTTATGCCAGGGACAACGCTTTTTTCCCCCAAAGTTTGACATGTAAAGGTTACATTGTATTCAAAATAAGGGAAGAAAAACACATTGGTCTGGACCAGTGGTCGGCAAATTGCGGATCGCTGCAGGCTGCTTTTTAACGAACCTTAGCGGCTCGACCAGTCGGCGACAAATCGGTTTTGTCTCTGAAAAGATGGTCCTCGACAGGTTTTTGAAAATAAAATTGGCACTCAAAATTTCAATTTTTTAAAATCATCCTGCTTCTGATTTTTCGCTCTTTTGACTAATGGGTTTGCCGGCCACTGGCTTAAAACAACAGTATCTATGTACAGTTATTTGGATACGTTTGGATCACTTAAGGAGTCTTGGCAAAGCCACGAAGTCTGGGTAATGGGATTTTATGGAGAATCAACTGTTTCCCAATCAAAAGTTCTCCCTTCTCAACACAGTTATGGTGTCAAGGAAACATAAATGAGTCAATACAATGTTTGGTCTTCACTTGGGGCGTCGCAGGTGTTGCCATAATGCTTTTTCAGCCCGAGCCACCATCTGAGTCTCATCTACACGGATCATCTGGATTTGTGTAGAGCTGGTTTCTTGGGACTGCTGGGGTTTGAACTCCAGCCCACGTGTGTATCTATATCTTGGTGTTGATACAATTTAGGATGACTGAGTGATCATCTGTGTCACCATGATCTTATAAACTCATGTGAATTTTAGTTTAAGCCGTTTAGTCCATTGTATGGAAATAATCGAAAAAAGGTATCGGACTTTCATATTAATTTAGATAATAAGCATGTAATGAGAAATGTAAATAGACTTTATTTTGTGTTTGTGCTCTAAGATGCGCATTACTTTCGTGTTCTATACTTTTTGGAAAAAAAAACAACCTTTGTGATTGTTCCTTAAGATCCCAATCTCGTTGACGATCGACGCTGTCAACAACTGCCTCTAGTGAAGACTAAATAAGTTTAACAGTTTATAATAAACTTCAATTGAAAAGGAGTTATCAATTTAAAAACGAAATATTGATATGGTCATATGCTTAAAATCTATTTAAGTCTAAATTGTTGAACGCGTTATCCCTTTTCCCAAAAGCTGTTAAAACGGAGTTCCTGACAACACTAAGCCTTAATCAATGTTACTTCCATAGGTTCAAATATGAATGCTTACAATTACAAAACGTCATCCGACCATAATGGGTGGTTAGAAAAACAAACTTTCATCATAAATTGATGTCATGTGTAAAGTAACGAGCTGTCCTTTTCGGGATTATTCCTTACCAGATACATATCACCATTTTGCAAATACAAGTTAAGAAAAAATAATAGCATTGTTCATTGTTCGTTTTAGAAAAACAACATAGGCAATAAACTCATGACATAACCCCCCCCCCCCTTTAATTTTTTTTCATTCCCCCCTTTAATTTTTTTTCATTGCAAAAACGTTAATGATTGTACTTCAAAGGAATACAAAAGTTAAGCAACCATAGTGCCATCTCTGCCCCCTCCCTTGCGGCTAAATTTGTATTAAAGCAACACTGGTTTTCATAATACAGCTTGAATAGTATAGACAGAGCTGAGCCAGAGAAGAGCAGTGCCTACAGCGTATGGCTGTATAGAAGGCACTGCACCTGAATACTTTCAAAAACTGATTTCTATTTATAAACATGTATCCATAAAGAACCTGCGTTCTTCTACAACAGTCTTTACCAAGAGAGTCCAGTGTGGATGGTTACAGAAAGAAGTCGCGCTCTTTTGAAGCTATTGCGCCTAAATTATGAAACAGTTTGCCAGAGTCCTTGAGGGGAAATTGAAAATTTTAAAAATTCATTTAAAAACAATTTGAAGGCTCTTTTCTTAAATGTATCTTAGGACATCAGAAAGCGGTGAGCTTGATGAAAAAGCATGGGTACAGGAGCTAGAAAAGTATTCAATCATTAATAAACTTTAAAAAAAAAATATTTTAAGATATCAAATAAAAACAACTAAAAATTGCAAAAGGAGAGAGGGGGCAAGTGTGAGAAAGTGAAAAAGAGAGGGTGTGGGACTGGTCATTGGGACCCGATCTATTTTATCATGAACATAACTAAAACGTGGCAGCGAAACGGCGTTAAAGAAGTGACGTCATCGAAGTGGTGTAGGCCAATTGTCGATCTCCCTCTCTTTGCAATAGTGCCATGAAAATAACGCACTGTACATTCACCAATAAAATGAAATCAACTCACACTAGTTACATGCAAACTACCACTGTGAATTGACCAGGTGTAATACTTAATTGTCCAAACTATCTCAAGGAGTAAGTCCTAACATGTCTTCCTAATTCGATTTCTTCACTTTGTTCGTTTTCTATAAACAAACTATTGCTTACACACTGTGTTATATAGAGCTTGTTTACATAATTTTTCTCATGCGTAACAGTTTCATCAGTGATATATAAAAGCAATTTGACCACTGCAATTTACAGATAAAACTTTAGATCTGACTGACAGAACTAAACAACTACTGGGTTTTAATATTATTATATGACATTAACAGTTATAATTAGACATGATATTTAAAACTTGCTCTAGTCCTTTTTCAAATAATGTTTTGTAAAACTTTGTTGTTTAAAAGAAGCATGCATATTTAACTTTCAATTTGTTAACAAGAATCTTTCTTTCCTTGCACAGCTGGCGACCCTTGGCCCCAGCCTACGTATTGATATGTTGAGCGTTGTTAGATGTGCCCTCAACAATGTAACCACACTACCATTATGTTTAGACGGTGTGGATGGACACAAGTACAGCAGAAAGTATTTTACCTTGTTCCTGGTTGAGCCCAACTCCACATCCCTCAGCTTCAGACATGCCTAATACTTCTTTAACTTCAATAAACCAATAACATCACCGCTAATATTGCTATGTGTTATTCTTATACTAACTAAAAATTGTAATGGAAATGAATGGAACAAGAGATTAGACGATTGTGAGTTAGAACAACAATATACACCGTCAGAAAGAACTAAATTAACCTCTGAAACGTTATGGTCAAGCAATGCCATATAAAACTTAGTTGAACACTTCAACATTATAGTCAAGTTGTGTCAGATAGAACTAAGTTGCTCTCAGTGATCCCAAAAAATAACATTTAACCTGGAATTATTTTGTACAAATGAGGTCAAATTTCATCAATTTCTATTCTGAATAGACATAATGTTATGCACAATTATTATTTATTTAAACAATTTTACTTCATCTTTAACATAGGCTTTAATATCCATCAATCTGAATTAAAATTTTTCTCAGAGACTATATCTGTAGTGTGGAATACATGTTCTGCTTGACTGCACAATCCATCACCGTTGATTGAATACAATACAGAAATCTGTTGATCAAAATAGGTCAAACATCATGAGTTAAATGTAACATTTAGTTACTAAGAGATTAAAAGTTAACACTTAGTCCAATACATTTCCTTACAATAAATTCTTGTGGATCATGGTAGGATAAGAGATAGGGAAAAGAAAAGAAATTTGATTAGTTTATTTTTTTTGGTTTACACACCTAAGAATATGAAATGGGAAACAAGAATAATGTGACTTTGAGCACATTTCTGTTACAGTATTGATTTAACTAAAACATTGTTAACTCTTGACTTCACTGACGAAGGAAGACAAGTCTGCATTAAGAGCAGGTTTAATCAAGAAGAAATTGATAAATAACAAATCTCAAGCTGTATGAGTGCTACCTACACACATTGGTATTGTTATGGCAAGCTGTACGAGTGCTACAGGCTAACTTCAGTGCTGTTGATGGGGCAAATTCCTACAAGTGATGCATACGGTTTTGTTGATAGTACAAGCTCTACGAGTGCTGCATAAAGTGTTTTTGATAGGACAAGCTGTAGGAGAGCTACATGCAGTGCTGTAGCAGGTTGTAGCAGTGCACTGCAAAGCTCCTACTTTGATAAATAAAATAATGTTCCCATTAAACTTACCTTTTTAGTTCAAGGGCCATATACAAAGATGTGGCTGTCTTGATGTGTCCTGTGGGCCATATACAAAGATGTAAATGTCTTGATGTGTCCTGTGGGCCATATACAAAGATGTAACTGTCTTGATGTGTCCTGTGGGCCATATACAAAGATGTAACTGTCTTGATGTGTCCTGTGGGCCATATACAAAGATGTAACTGTCTTGATGTGTCCTGTGGGCCATATACAAAGATGTGGCTGTCTTGATGTGTCCTGTGGGCCATATACAAAGATGTAACTGTCTAGATGTGTCCTGTGGGCCATGTAAAAAGAGGCAGTGGGCTCAACGTTTCCGCTGGCCGTAGGTTGCCGAGAATTGTATGATATCAAAGGCTACGCGTAATACAAGACACTGCAGCAACCTATTTGAACCCATGTCAACGTGAAAATAGACTACTTTGACAAAGGTCAACGTGACTGTGGCCTAGTTTGACCCCGGTTAACATTTCAGTAGCCTAGTTTGACCCATGTCAAAGTGACATTAGCCTAGTTTGACCAAGTTTCAGTGTGAATTTTTACCTTAATGGAATATTGTGTTTTTATAAGGGTATCTGGTGATGATTGAAGCTATTTTTCCTATTGTTTATTTACTATGTGCTGCTATAATATCTTGGTATGATTGAATGTATTGTTCCCATTGTTGCTTTACGATGTCTAGCTATGATGAGGCTTAATGAGTCAGTCATTGACTGTCTGATTTGGCCAACGGTTAATCACTTGCAAGGAATGGTGTTAGATGATTATATTTGTAAAAACCATTGGAACAAATCAAAATTTATGCTCAACGACAAATGAAAAGAATATTTTGGAAAACACATTAAAAAAAATCTAATATCGATTAGAAATGTGCAATTATGTGCAAGCAAAGGTGTGCAATCTTGTGCAAGCAGAGGTGTGCCTTTCACAGCAAGGGAGTGTTTTTTTAGCAGAGGTTACCTGGTTACTACTTGGAATGGGGTAGTATCTCACAGCGTCGCACTAGGCACAACGTTTTTGCCTTGAGACTTACGGAAAGCGCACTTTCGCATTTGCTGGTCCAACAATTTGGAACGCCCTTCCTGTCGATCTCAGAAACAACCAGACACTGGAGTCCTTTAAAACCGATCTAAAGACACATCTATTTCGCAAACACCTTCTGGGATGATTGTCTACCTTATTTTCCAGTTAATGCATAATGGCTGTGTTGTTCAGGGTTGAAATGACTAGAAAGACTTTGACATTGTATGCTTGTAATTAGTTTTTGTAGTGTTGCGTTTGTTTTAAATGTGGTAAATTATAGATTTGTCTTTTGTTGACTTTGTACCGTGCTTCGAGCCTTTGGGGATGAAGCGTGTTTTTGAAATGAACTTTATTATTATTATTATTATTAATAGGTAGGATAGTCTTTAGCAGTAGTGTACCAGGCACACCAGGAGGGATAGTCTAAAGCAGGGTTGAATTTGACATAACAATGAAGGGGTAGTTTTTAACATGGGTGCACCTGACACACATTTTGGATAAAACTTTTAGAACATTGTCCTAATTTATGGACACACATTTTTTAAGAAACAAATCTCAAGCTTCTTAGATCTTTTGTTGACTAATATGGGCGTGACGAAAAAAAAAAGGGGGGGGGGGCGGACTTCACTATGGTAAGGAAATTAAAGGGATACGGAGCTCTCCGGGGATCGATACATTATGGAGGTAAGGACCTCACTGAGGTAGGGACCTCAATGGTGAGGTGATTTTAAGGGGGTAGGGATCTCGTTTATGTAGATACATTACTGGGGTAAGGTAGTTAAAGGGATAAGGACCGTCGCTGGGGAAGGGACCTCATTGGAGTAGGGACTTCTAGATGTGTACTTTCTTTTTGGGATACTACACACCGCATCTGTCCTTAATGGAAACTGTATATAACACACTATAAAATATTACACCGTAAGTTTATAAGATTATGTCTTTTAATATGGACTAACCTCCTAAACGTAACTTGTCCATAGGGTGTCTATAAATAGATATATTCATGGGTCCTTGTCCGACGGGCAACCATAAAAAGTATTAAACCTGAGTCCCTGTCGGACTGGTATCAATAAATAGGCTTATACCTGGGTCCCTGTCGGACTGGTATCAATAAATAGGCTTATACCTGGGTCCCAAATGTTTCCGATAATTGACTCTATTGTAGACGATATATTAAATTTTGCAACGTAAAGTATGAAAAAACCGCTAACACATTGTTTGTTCTTGCCAACACGGGCCCCGTATAGACTAATAAATTGTTTCTTCTTGCCGACAGGGTCCACTTCTGGACTAATAAATTGTTTTTTCTTGGCAAATGGGGCCTCGTTTGAATAATATACTGTTTATTTCTTGCCCAGATGGGCCCCGTCTGGACTAATACCAAAAAAAATTGTTTGTTCTTGCCAACAGGGCCACGTCTATACTACTACATTTGTTTGTTCTGGCCAAGAGAGGGCCCGTCTAGACTAATACATTGTTTGTTCTTGTCAACAGGGGCCCCGTATAGACTAATACACAGTTTGTTCTTGTCAACAGGGGCCCCGTATAGACTAATACATTGTTTGTTCTTGCCAAATGGGGCCTCGTTTGAACAATATATTGTTTATTTCTTGCCTACAGGGGCCTAATCTGGACTGACACATTGTTTGTTATTGTCAACAAGGGCCCCGTCTGGTTCAGAAGACAATAAAGTTCGGTACGGTCAAATGGATAAACCGGTCAGAGTTGTGGTTATACAAGTCTTTTTGATTATTGCAGGTCATCCAGACCGACATGTTAGCGTCCTTTATTGGCGATGCGGCACTTAAATTTGACCGCATTGATCAGGACAGATTCACGCAATTCTCTTTTAATGTCTTATTTAATAGATTGATCCAAGACAACAGACATAATTGTATCATTAAACAAGAATCATTGGACGTCGAAGAGTTAAATGAGCATAAATAAGCCTCAACCTACATGATACATGATGTGATGTTTGTTTGAAAAGATTTAAACATTAAATATAATCTGTTGACGTCTATGTATTCTCTATGTTAACCGATTTGACTTAAAATATCACCTTTGTACTTGGACGTGTGTGTGTCTTATGAAACAGACCTAGCTTTACATATCACCTTGTATTTAGATGTAGGTTTGCCCTGGTAAATTAATCTAACTTAACATATCAACCTGTACTTTTCTGTGTGTCCTGTTAGATTGATAGAACTTGACATATTGACCTGTATTTGGATGTAAGTGTGTCCTGATAAAACTATCTAACTTTACATATAACCCTGTATGTAGCTCTATGTCCTGGTAAATTGATCTAACTTAACAAATCACCCTGTATGTAGCTGTAATGTGTCCTGGTAAATTGATAAAAACTTTGCATATCGACCTGTATGTAGCTGTAAGTAAATGTGCCAAGGTAAATTGATATAATTTAACTTTTTTTTCTGAATGTAATTGTTCAGCTGTCTTGACGCCCTATTCGTCAGTGTGTTCTCGTTGAAGTCCTGTAGACAGAATTGGTGACATACAGGGTCTCCTTTAATTTGCCGCCTCTTGTTTAGAAAAATCATTACCAACACACACGAGAAGACAAACATTAGCTGTGAATTAGACTGAGGAGGCACCCCTTCGATTAGTGCCCCCCCGGGGGGGGGGACCACCCAATACGCCCCAACCCGGTGTTTCTTTCAGATTTTCGTGTGGGGGGTGGGGCGGGCAGTTCCAGT